ACTGACTTCCCTCTTTAGATCCTTGCTTCCCTTCATATAAATATCAAATATGGGTGGGAATGGGCTATGGCTGACCAGGACATGTTCTCTCTCTCTCTCTCTCTCTCTCTCTCTCTCTCTCTCTCTCTCCCTTCCTCCCTCCTTGCTGGGGCCCATCAGCATGGCTCTTAGCTTTAGAGTCAGAGGTAGGATCAGCCTTGTATTATTTGGGAAGGGAAGAGAGAAATGAAGGGCTGTGCTCCTAAAGCATGCCTGTTCATATTTAAGGTTGTGACAGGGAGGTAAGAACATGTCATCCGGGTACTCAAGAGACTGAGGCAGGAGAATCAAAAAAGAGTGTCTATTTTAGTCAATGTTCTGTTGCTGTGAAGAGACACCATGACCACAGCAACTCTTATAAAGGAAAATATTTAATTGGGACTGGCTTAGTTTAGAGCTTTAATCCATTATTATGACAAGGGAGCATGGTGGCATGCAGGCAGATATGGTACTGGAGAGGTAGCTGAGAGCTCTACATCCCAGTTAGCAGGAAGAGAAGGAAATACTGGGCCTGCCCTGAGCATTTGAAACCCCAAAACCCACCCTCAGTGACACACTTCCTTCAACAAAACCACACCTCCTAGTCCCTCAAGTAGCACTACTCCCTAAGGCCAAGCATTCAAATATATGAGCCTGTGGGGGCCATTCCTGTTCAAACCACCTTAGTGTTTTAAGGTGACCACTAGAGAGAAGAGGCAGTCTCTAAATTCTAAAGCAGAAGAGGGTAAATGGAATGAGAAGAAATCCACTCCACAGGAGACGGGGGAAGGATAAGTGCAAACATCCAGTAGCATTGTAGGAGTGATCCCTTGTGAGTTCATGATTACAGTAAATCAAGTCAGCTAAGCTTTCTACAAAAGGCAGGGACTTCAGGGTGGGGGTGGGACTGAGTTCCTAGAGTGATTGTCTAGCATGCATCAAGCCCTGAGTTCAGTCCCAGCCCTGTGTAAAGCAGCTGTGGTGGCACTCTTGGAATCCCAGCACTTGGGAGGCAGAGACGGGAGGATCAGGAGTTTAAGGTCTTTCTTGACTACATAGTAAGTTTGATGACTGAACTAAAACTCACAATCCTGCCTCCTTGGACTCATGGCAACTCTCCTGCCTCAGCCTCCCAGGTGCTGGGATGGTAAGCATCATCCCAGTGAAGTGGGAGCTTCACTCTCTGGCATTGTCATTCAGGCAGTCACCAGCACACTTGGGTGCTGTCTAGCAAGGGTATGCACTGGTAACTTTTCTCATTGTTAATCTCAGCATATCTGACAGATGTGAGTTAAGGGAAGAACTCATTCTGGTTCACTACTCTAGGTGGTGCTGCCCAGCATGTCAACAAAGGCGTGGTGACAGCAGTGTCACCTGGTCACATTACATACAGTCCACAGGTGCTCAGTCAATTTCTCCTTTTCATTCAATCCAGAACCCCCAGTCCATAGGCTGGTGCCCCCACATTCAGGGCGGGTCTTTTGCTTCCATGAACCCAATCTAGAAGCCCTTTCACAGGTGTGCCCAAGTCTTGTCTTAGGGAACTTTAGATCCTGTTAAAATGCCTATGACCCATCACAGGGCCTTACTCTCCCTGGTACATCTACCTACCCTTAGACCTGGCTCAGTGACCGAGGTATTGCACTGAATACTATGAGTGCAGACCTCATTGCCATGGTCTCTACACAAGGCTCATGGTCCAGACAGGGTTACAGCATGTCAAACCAGCGGCAGCCAATATGTGGAGCTAGTAAAATATCTTTGTAATGAGTTGAACCATTTGGGGTAGGTGAGCAGGCAGATACCAAATGGCTTTCCTCGGAGTTCCAGAAAACGGAGAGAGAGCATCTCAGGAGGAAGCCAAGAATCCAGACAGGGTATGACTAATGAAGGGGACCTGTGTGTGTCCCTGTTGTGGCTGGAGCAGAAGAGAGGGGGCAGAAAGCAGTGTTGGTGGGTGTGTCACTGAAGTCATTGAGGTCAGACGTCCACCTTGGATAACTCTGGCCACTGATTTGAAGGGAAGGTGTTGGGGAAGAAGCAGAGGCTGAAGCAGAGAACAGGTATTAATCATGATCTACTGAGTCAAAACTTCAGATCCAAGTATTCCTGTGGGATTGCAGTCACTGTTTTATCTGGCCACTGAGCATAGAACCTCACAAATGATAGGCAAGTGCTCCACAGTAGTAAAGTGGAACCACACACCCAGCTCCTCATGGGGGATTCTAGACAAGAGCCCTACCTCTAAGCCATACCCCAGCCCCTCACTGGGGGGATTCTAGACAGGGGCTCCACTACTGAGGCATGCTCCCAGCCCCTTTCTGGGGGATCCTAGGGATGTTCACTACCACTTCAGCCCCTCACTGGATTAAACATGTATTATTAGGTCCAAGCTTCATAATTTCCTGGTCTCTGGACCAGTAACACTCAGATATAGGCTTTACTAATCTCCCAACATTGCTCAATTCAATCAACCTAACAGTATTAAGCATCAGTTGGGACTGGTGACTCCAGCACACACCTGTATTCCCAGCTACTCAAGAGACCAAAGCAGGAGGCATGGCTCCAGCTACAAAGCCTCAAAAAACTTGAAAGTTTAAAGTTTAATCATCTACAATTGTGGTCATGTATAAAAGGAGAGTGAGGCTGGGGAGATGCCTGCACACTAAAGAGCACTTGCTGCCCTTGCAGAGAACCTGGGTTCAGCTCCCAACATCTAGTTCCAAGGGACCCACCCAATGCCCTCTTCTGGCCTTTCTGGGTACCACACACATGGTGCTCATACACACATGCAGGCAAACACTCCTACACACAAAATAAATAATTTTCAAAGAAGGAAGAAGGGAATAGATGGATGTGTGTTGTATGGCTAACATGGCTGGACTCTGTTTTCCAGACTTTCCTTGTTATTTTTCCTTAAAAGGCATACAGGTGACTCCCATCAATAGGCTTGTCAATGCTTGTTCTGTCTATAATTCTGACTTGGTGCCAGCCAGGCCTGGTCCAAGGAACCAGGTAGCGTGCCTTGAGGAGCCTCTTCCCTCCACAGCCCCTCTCTGTCCCTCACTCTTGAAATCTCAGTCCAGGCTCCAGACACTTACTCTACCACAGTGGAGTGGGAGTACCTAAGTTTTCTTCTTAAGGGCTAGGGTGGAAGTCGGGGTTGAGACTTGGTCTAATTGCATAGCCCAGGGTGGCCTCAACTCACTATAATCCTCCTGCCTCAGGCCCCTGACTGCTGGGACTAATACATGCATGAGTTACCATGCTGTGCTCTCTCACCCCTTCCATCTCTTTCCCTAAAGCCTCAGCACCTCCATGAATCAGCGAAGAGCCCAGGTTCTTCACTGTCCTCATGAAATGTGGTTGTAGCTCAGTGGCAGAGCACCCACTTAACACAAGTGAGGAGCTGGAGGTGTGGCTCTGTGATCAGCTGAAAGAGTGGGTGTCCCAGACAGGAGTTCTAAGAGGAGATGGTTTCAAGCCCATTCTGCTGCGGAGGAAGCGCTGCTCTCCTAAGCCCAGAGCCACCTCTCTGTGGGTGACACACGGCCCGTGGGCACTCACACCCATGGGGCTGCAGCCAGGACATCCTCCAGAGCAGACAACCCTGATACGGGCAAAGAAGAGTTGAGGAGTTGACCATGAGCGGAAGTACGCTAGCGCTGGAGACTGAGGGAACAGCAAATACACAGGCTTGGAGGCAGGAGTGAGTTTGCAGTTCTGGGGAGCTTGTTAGATAAAGAGGTAGCAGAGGGAGAAGGACGGCGATGGGAATGGAAGATGAAGTGCTTGAAGCCAGGGCTAAAGCTCTTTAGGGGATCATGGGTGAGGATGCAGTTGGTGGAGCGCCTGCCTAGCATGCAGAAAGTCCAGGCTTCCAGCCCCAGCACTGCATAAACCACACGTTGGCCAGGTAAGTGGAGGCAGGAGGATTTGAAATTCACGTTATCACATCCGGTAAATTCAAGGCCAGCCTGGGCTACTTAAGACCCTGTCTCAAATTTTTTAAAAAATCTGTCATCTAGGTGTGTAGCTTGTATGGGGTAGAATATTGTAGCAGCAAACTGTAATTAGGGAGGCCATGGGCCTGTGAGTCTAAACACCCTTGTAGGGTGTGGTGGGAGTGAGGGCAGGGGTGGAGCTGTAGATGGGGGTGAGAGGAGGAGATAGATAGTGGAAACACTGAGGGTGGAGCTTCAGGGCTGATGTCCTTGAGCTGCCTCCTGCAGGTGGCGCTTCCATGAAGACTTTGGGTCAGTAGGCCATGAGAACAATAGTGAGAATCCTGAGGCAAAGAGAAGCCAACAGCCTGAGGCATGTGCATGGTCTCTTATCAGCTGTCTCTGCCGCCCTCCCTTCCTGAGGGAGTTGACCCTGGACAATGGTCAGGTGACAGGCAGGGCTGGGAGGAGGAGTGTGCTGTCCATAACCTCCACAGCCTCAATTTCTGTATGTGTCCATAAATACAGACAAGAGGGAGGCAGGCCCACCCAGCTCAGCACCCAGCAAGCCCTGTGGTGAGCCTCCTCTCTTCCTCTCAGAACCGGAGAAATTATAGGACTGTTAACGGGTGAATGACAGGTGTGTGTGGAAAGCATCCTGGGACACAGAAGCAGCATGAGTAAGTCAGGCATGGAGACACCGGCCTGTCTTCCCAGTTAGTCAGAAGCCTGAAGTACCAAGATCAAGAGTTTAAGGCCAGTCTTGGGAACATGATGAGACCCTATGTCCAAATAAAACATGCAGACAGCCAGGAGTGAAGGTTAATGGTAGAGGACCCACCTGCCTAGAATCCCCCAGTGAGGGACTGGGGTGTGGTCCAGTGTAGATCACCCTTTTAAGAGTCCTCCAGTGAGGGCCTCTACCGTGGATTAGTCATAGAGCTCCTGCCCAGCATCTTGGACATCAGGGTCTCATTCTCCTGCTGTGAACTGCAGAGTCCAGGCTTGTCGGGTGCACTGACACTAGTCTCCCCGTAGGTGATCCGCACTGACACATTCAAGCACCTCCGGCACCTGGAGATCCTGCAGCTGAGCAAGAACCTGGTGCGCAAGATCGAGGTGGGCGCATTCAATGGGCTGCCTAGTCTCAACACACTGGAACTCTTTGACAACCGGCTAACCACGGTGCCCACACAGGCCTTTGAGTACCTGTCCAAGCTACGGGAACTGTGGCTGCGCAACAACCCCATCGAAAGCATCCCCTCCTATGCCTTCAACCGCGTGCCCTCACTGCGCCGCCTGGACCTGGGCGAGCTCAAACGGCTGGAGTACATATCGGAGGCGGCCTTCGAGGGGCTGGTGAACCTGCGCTACCTCAATCTGGGCATGTGCAACCTAAAGGACATCCCCAACCTCACAGCGCTTGTGCGCCTGGAGGAGCTGGAGCTGTCTGGGAACCGGCTGGACCTAATTCGCCCCGGCTCCTTCCAGGGCCTCACCAGCCTGCGCAAGCTGTGGCTGATGCATGCCCAAGTGGCCACCATCGAGAGAAATGCCTTTGACGATCTCAAGTCGCTGGAAGAGCTGAACCTGTCCCACAACAACCTGATGTCGCTGCCACACGACCTCTTCACGCCCCTGCACCGTCTGGAGCGCGTCCACCTCAACCACAACCCCTGGCACTGCAACTGTGATGTGCTGTGGCTCAGCTGGTGGCTGAAGGAGACAGTGCCTAGCAACACCACGTGCTGTGCACGCTGCCACGCGCCCGCTGGCCTCAAGGGCCGCTACATCGGTGAGCTGGACCAGTCACACTTCACCTGCTACGCCCCGGTCATCGTGGAGCCACCCACAGACCTCAATGTCACCGAGGGTATGGCGGCCGAGCTCAAGTGCCGCACGGGCACATCCATGACCTCCGTCAACTGGCTGACACCTAACGGCACACTCATGACGCATGGTTCCTACCGTGTGCGCATCTCGGTCCTGCACGACGGCACGCTCAACTTCACCAACGTCACCGTGCAGGAC